AAATGTCAACTGAATATCAAGGATAATCTTTCAAGGAGAGAAAAAGTGAGGAAGGCACGGGGAAGAACGTCCTCCAGCATCAGGCTGGAATCTGGGAGAGTGACCATCTGCGGGTGAGACTGGCCAGTTAAACAGCTTAAATCTGTGACATATCAGAGAAAAATGCCCACTGAATTGGGACCTGAAAAGTTACCCATGTTCAATAAAAGAGAAAGAGCAGAGGACAATTACAATATTCTGTGCATATCAACAGGCTTAATTCATATCCGTTCTTGGACAATTAAATCAGAGCTTGCTGAGGACATGTCAATTGTTTTTAATCCCATGGGGAAAAAAATTTAACGATTTATAGGAAAGTATTAAAAAAAAAAAAAGAGTTTGAACCATGCAGAAAATGCCCTCTGGAATAATTAACACCTATAAAAGGGAGACTCACACCCATTTGAAAATCATCAAGAATTCTAACATGTCATTTTTTAAATAGATTTTTTTCCCTTCAAGACTGACCCTTGACTATACTGTTTAAATTGTGTCTAAGTAGAAAGACCCCAAAAGTTTTCTGCATAATTAGCTTAAGCCTGAAAAGATTAAAAAGTCTCCATACTTGATTCCTTTTTCATCTTTGAGTATATTTAGGAATTTAAAAAGTTGATTTTTCTCTTGGAAATAGATTAGTCTCATAATACTCAATGTGTCAGAATATGAAAATTATTTTTTCTTTTGTCTGAATAAAAGTACAAATTGTCCATGAATATGGATCCTTAAGGATATTTTTTCCTGAGCCTAAACTGTGATATGAACTTTCGATGAATATTATCTATAAGTGTTATTAATATTTTACAATATAACAAAATGAAATTGTTTAAAAACTGAGGAGTCAAATTCATTTCAATTAAATGATATGTTACCTAGGTACAAGTATTTTTGTATACCATGCCATAGTCGAGGGATTAAAAAATAATAAAATATTAAATTAAAAATGAGAAGGTCGTCTAAATGTCATGTGTGTGTGTGTTTAGTAATCATATTTTGATTACTAAAATCAAAGAGAAGAAGGAGAAACAGAGGTAATTAAACATCCTCACACCAATCTTGGGAAAGACTTTTCAAAATAATTTCCTAGGCTGGGCGTGGTGGCTCACACCTGTAATCCCAGCACTCTGGGAGGCCAAGGTGGGTGGATCCCTTGAGCTCAGGAGTTCAAGAACAGCCTGAGCAAAAGCGAGACCCTGACTCTACTTAAAATGGAAAAAACTAGCCAGGCATAGTGGTGGGTGCCTGTACTCCCAGGTACTTAGGAGGCTGAGGCAAGAGGATTGCTTGAGCCCAAGAATTTGAGGTTGCTGTGAGCTATGATGATGCCAGGGCACTCTACCCAGGGCAACAGAGTAAAACTCTGTCTCAAAGAAAAAAATAATAATAATAATTTGCTAGTACTCCAATATAACTTGCCAAATTTGTGTTCAGTTTGGTCCATATTTCTTAATTTAATTTTCCATTTTTTTGACACATCTGTATTGATTTAATTCAAGACAATCTAGGTACTACAGGTTAAGATTTTCCTAGTCCAGATAAAAATTAGCAAAGTTCATTGCCTAAAATGACATAGGAAAAGTCTCCCAAGAATAATATTAGTTTGCTTTGGTGTATGTATAGTTACATGAATCAAAATATAAAATAATTGGTCCACGAAGAGTATAACACAATGGCTAAAGATGTTCCTATCATATGAAAAATGCTCCCTGAATTTCAAGAATGTACATTTAACAAAATGAAGTATGAAAATTTCATGCAAAAAAAGAAAAATGCTGGTAAGAAATTCTCAGAGTCTTTTGGGTGAAATTTATACTCAACTTCAAATTCGTAGCATCAGCATCATAAATTCAATATGTTATTAAATTATGACTGATGAAGAGAGAATTCTAATGTGAGTGAACAAAGCACTAATTGGTAAGGTTTTGCTATTTTTAGAAGGAGTACACTTCAGGAAGTACAATCAGAGATTTTCTTACCAAGCCTTGGATTCACTTATGCTGAAAATTAAGCCATCTCTTGGGCATAGATGTGATTGCAGGATACGTGAGACATTATGTTAAAATTTAGTTATTCTCAACAGCCATTTGGGGTATGGATTTTGTGTGAGTGTGTGTGTTGAACTCTGTGTAGTATAAGTTAAAACTACAGCATCCTTCAGTGACCAAATAGTGTGTGGTTGGAACGTTGTCTCAAACATTTTATTTAATGTTGTTGAGGTCACATCAGGGTAAGCAGGAACCCATAGTCTAATGTCTGTAATAAATTCACATTAATTCAAATGAAGAATATTTAGGTTAAATATTCTGGATATATTTGGAACATATTCTTCTTAGTAAAGTATCTCAAAAATGGAAAAAAAAAGTATCCAATGTGCTCAATACTACTATGAAATCAATATATAACCACCTACACACTCATACAAATGGCAAAACATAACTATAGTCCAGAAAGCAGAAGGGAAGAGGAGAGAGAGGGGAGGGGAGAGGGGATATGGGAGGAGGGAGGGTATTTGTGGGGACCTCACCTAATGTGCATGATGCAATGGTACATTTCAAAACTATTAAGAAATGAGTATAAATGTGATGGACGTGTTACTTAGTTCAATGTAAGCATTTCACATTGTATATCAAAGCAGTACCCTGAACCCCACAAATGCATCAATGTACAAAGTTATGATTTAAGAAAAAGTGATTACAAAAAATGACAAAAAATAAAATTCTAGGTTAGTATGAGGGTACAGATAATCAGATTACATTGTTTGCGTTTGTTAGGTAAAGTTCAATTTGGAGTTGTGCCCCTCCAGGAGGAATGCCATCTACTCATGTTGGGCCTGTTAGGTGACAGCCCATCATCATCTACTCGTGTATTGGGCCTGTTAGGTGACAGCCCATCATTTTCCTTCCTCCTTCCCCACCCCCAACTTCAATTTAATTGTGTTTTTCTCTTATATGAGTATTTGATTGTCTGCTGATTTCATATTAGTGTTGACTACTTTGGAAACTTGCTTTTGCATTCTTGGGATAGTTTACTAAACAGAATGTTCTCCAGCTCCATTTAAAAAAATAAAAAACTATCATAAACAATTTCCTATATTAGAATTTACCATTTAATAAATTTGGAAACACGTAAACATATTGGATTTTACACTTTGGTTCTTAATAATCCCTGTGTGCCTCAATATAAATTACTGAATTCATTAGAAAGGAAGACGCCAATTTTTCTCTCCGTCAGAAGTAAAGAAATGGTATTACGAACTAGCTCTGCAATGTATCACATTTATCCAGACTTTGTGGAAAAGACACGATCGCACGGCAGTTTTCTTAGTAGTTACAATTCACACAACCTGATTATCAAATTGGATCAAAATCTGAGCAAAGTTTTTAATGACAAAATTAGTAAGAATCTGCTTATCTTCCAGAAAGCAGGGTGGTGGGCTGGCCGTTCCCCCCTGGCAGCCTGGAGAGGAGAGGGCAGTGCGGGACAGATAAAGCCAGGCCTTTGGCTCAGTTGGGTTTCAAAGTCCTCACCAAAACACAAACTGCCTCCCCACTAGGAATTCTGAACATGCATAGCAGCTATTCTAACAATAAAAGTAATCAGTGATATACTACATATATCCTTAAGAAAATTTCAAACACTTTTAAATGAATAGGAACCAGAAGAAAATAAATTTTCGGATACAAAGCAAAAAGATGCTCAAAGGAATTAGCAATATTTTATGAAAATAAAATACTAGTGTTAGCTAAGGATCTACTCATAAATCTGCTCAGGACGCAATGGGCAGTGTATTGAAAAGTGCCTCATTCTGTATATTTAGGAGTTGGACAGGTGCTGAAGAGTCAACCATCAATAAGTAGAACACTAAAAAAATCAATATTGACTCTGTGGCTTTTTTTGAGGGGAGGGCATACAGTACATTATATTTCTGTCGGGTTTAAATATTTCCATGAGTACTCTTTTCTATAATGGTCTAAACACCAAAATAAAGTTTAAAATGGACTCATTTCTGAATATTCCTTCTAACTATAAACTAGGTTAAAGAAACATAGGAAAATATGAAAATATGTTCGTTGTAGGAATAGGGAATATTCATGTTTTATTTCCCTTATTTTTAGGTATTTTGATTATTCTCAGCTTAATGTCCAAAAAGGCCATCTACAAAAGCTTTGTATGTGTGTGTGTATGCGTGTGTGTGTGTGTGTGTAGGGGGGCTCTCCCTCTTTTAGTTTTAAAATGAAAAAAAACTACCTATACAATACCTATATGAACAGTCAATAAAATCTGCTTTAAATCAGTGCACACCATCACTGAAGCATTCAGGTGAAATCCTTTACAAGCTAAAAATAAAAGCTGTCATTGAAAAGGTTTGTTTATTTCCAAAGAGGCTTTGTTTTGCCGGAATGTCTGCTTATCCATCCCCTTGTTAATGTATAATACTGGCTAACGAGAATTTACCAGTTCTATTCCCCAGAAATTCACTCGGCAC